AGGAAAAAAATGGAAATTAATTAATATTTTCAGAACAGCTTCAGATATTCCACTGATATTTGGTACGTAGTGAAAGTTAATAAACTTGCATATTTTTCAATGCAGAAGTAATTTTTAGCTTTAACAGTGACGTGCGTATGGGTATTGACTTCGACATTGTTTAAGAAAGAAATGGTACTCCAATGGTTTTTTGCCAGATAAAAATTATTTTTGAATTTTCCGTTCAATTTAAAACAAATGATCTCTCTTGAATGGTTTTCCTTCGATGCGCCATTTTTGAGTACAAAAATAAAAATCGTTCTATTGTCTAACTTGCAAAATTATTATTAATTTAATTGGAAAAATTAAACACATTTGGGGCAATGAACAACAACAACTCACAACTTAAACATAAAGTTAAAACCAATGAAATGATTACAAAAATTGTTGAAAATCCACCTCCCCTTAGGCCCGTATCGTCAGTCGTCCCTACAATTGTAGGGCGCGTTTATGGCCTCCTTGATTGTCATACTCCTTTCTCTTCTTCTACATTACACTTGTTCCGTGTCAGCGTCAACGCTCTCCTATTGTGAAGATATGTTTTCTTTTTAAATTGTAGGCAATTTCAGACTGATAAAACATGATATAACTCAAAAGCAAGCACAATTTGATGCAAATAGATGTTTGTGACATAACCTCAAAATAGAGTTCTGACATGAAGAAGTAGAAAACTATGACAATCAAGGAGGCCATAAAGGCGCCCTACAATTGTAGGGACGACTGACGATACGGGCCTTAGTATGTGTTTTTTTATTCTATCACAAGCTGCAACTATTCTTTCTCTGAATTCCTCTACACTGTTAACGGGACTTGTGTACACTAGTGTCTTAAGATAGACCCACAAAAAGAAATCTAAACTGTTGAGGTCTGGGGACCATTGGCGTACCATTTCTTTCTTAAAGAACATCGAAGTCAATACCCGTACGCACGTAAGCTAAAAATGATTTTTGGATTGAAAAATATGCAACTTCATTAACTTTCACTACGTACTAAATATCAGTGAAATATCTGAAGCGGTTCTGAAAATATTAGTTTCCCTTTTTTTCCTAAAACTTCAACACCGCGAGTTTTTGGAAGGAAACATTTTTGGGCCATAGTTTATACAGCAAACTAACAATAATTTTTCATGTAGATTCACACCCTTAAATATTCGCATATCATTAAGGAACACCCTGTATACTTACTTGATTGTTTCTTGTGACCACTTGCGATTGCTGAACTCAGCCCATTCCCCTAGATAACCAAAACAAGCTCAACAACACACTAGTCCTACACTACTATGCCAAGTACGAAAAAGCATTATGCTTTTTGAACATCCATCCAGTGGCGGCGGAGCTAGGGGCAAAAAATTTAAAAAAAATAAAAATCTGTCAAACTACGGTCTTCGGCATTTCAGACGATACTATTTTTAAAATATTGAGCAAAAATTTTGTAATTGGGGTATCGTAGGGAGTGGGGGAGGGCATATCTCAATTGTTTGCCAGTTGTATGCGCATTGCTGTATACAATCTACAGTTCAGATATCCCGAAGACTCCACAAACGCAAACTGTATGTGTATGCGGACGATACAGCATATGCGGCAGGAAGTACGAGACCCCGCATGGTTACGGAATATCTGCAACGAGCGACTATCAACCTAGAGGAATGGTGAATCAAGTGGAAGATCCGTCTCAACCGTGAGAAGACCGAAGCGGTACTGTTCCGAAGAAATCGAAGATTACCTAAAACCAAAATAAAGATGACGACCACCAGAATGGAGAGAGGCTGGAGAAGAGACGAAGAAGTTGAGGTCGACTGAAAGGACTCCAGCACATACCTTGGAGTCAAGATGGACCAAAAACTCACTTGGAAGAACCATGTCGAGGGTCAGGAGCAAAAAGTGAAGATAGCACGCTCCAGACTAAGACCTTTAACAGGCAGAAGAAGCAAAGTGTTCTCAAAGAATAAGATCATCATGATTCAGATGGTGCAGCACTAGCTTGGGGCTACGTTTCCAAAACGATGAAGAAGAGGCTCCAAGCTCAACAAAACATAGCACTCCGTGAGGCGGTTGACGCACCGTGGTATGTATCTAACAGAGAGCTATATGACGAACTACGACAGGTACCGGTCGTAATCCAGATGAGAGAGAGGTCCCGAAAGTTCTTTGAAAAGAACGAAAGACATCGAAATGTGGTGATTAAAGACGCCTTGGATTACGACCCAGGAACAATAATGCGTCATAAAAGACCGAAAAGCCAGCTGCAACAAGAAGAAATTTGGCCCTAGCAGCTGATGAGGCCAAAAAGAAGGGGAGAAGACCGACAATAGTTGTACACCCAAGAGGCGAAAGAACAGCCCGTGTACAACGGGTGGACAAAGAGAAGCCTGTCGATTGAGGTGGCCAGTCAAGCACGGACTCGGGGCTAACCTCAGGAGATCAGGAGACGAATGACAAACAGCAAATGACTGACTGACTGACTCCAGTCGACGAGGAAAGAGCGAAGGCTCACCAACCTTAATGCGGGGCTTAGGTCAAAGCCCCCAGCGCAGGACCCCCAAGAAAGAGGCCGTCCATAAAAGTCGAGAACCGACAGTTGGAAGAAACGTCCACCACGTGCTTCCGCGACGCGTGCGCGATCGACTCAAATTTCGGGAAAAAGGGGCAAAATTGGGGAGGGGGGTTAGCTCGTTCGGCAGCACACACTCGGGGAATGCGCAGCGGCATGAACCACGCAGCGCCACGCCAGGCCTTCGGGCGGGAGAGGAGGGAGGAGCAGATTGCTCTTCCCCCCACTCGTCAAGGTTTTGAGGTTGCCTGGAACAGGGGTGATGGAGGGACCGTACAGGGTAGGAGGGTGTGTGTGTGTGTGTGTGTGTGGTATGCGCCTCCGGTTGTGGCAATTCTACGCACCTATAAGACATGATTCACTTATCCTTAAAACTTAGAATGGTAGCGAAATATTTCCGACCCTCGCGAGTAGACCATACGCTTCGCAGGGGAAGGGGAGGGTCATCCATCGACATGATATACCTTTGCGTGAAAGCATATCTGTCTCCATAACTTGTTGAAAAGTGACGGAGAGCATATCTTCTCGGGAAACCAAATCATAAACAGGGACCGTTTTGCCGAACATAATCCTTGATGACAGCGTTGCGTTGGAAGTGCAGAGTCAACCTACTTGACACAATTCTTTTTGCTTTGGCATGTTAGCTAGTATTGATTAGCCTTAAAAACAAGTTGTTGCTGATACCACACAATCGGTTTATTAAGTTATTCGTAGGGCTATTTGGCTTAGTATCGTCTTCTATTGACCTCATGGCTTGTTTGAACATTTGCAATGATATTTTCAAGAAACTGGACTACTTCTATGTAAATGAAATAACTACAAAGTCTATAACCATAAAATTTTGATAAAGTATAATCTGTAGTTCAAGTTTTGCACGTACTCTTCTCGGCTTGAGGGTAGCTGTGCTTAATACGACAGTACTAGGCCTTTCCACATATGAAGTTTCACATAACGAAGGTCATAGAGATAACCACATGACAGTAGTAACATCGAGCAAAGCAAATTCTTGACTTGTTTCTATTTCAATTGACTCTACTGCATAGTGTATCACTCACCAATGAGGTGGTTCGTTAGATGACAGTGTCCAGCAATAACGTTGGCTGCAGATTTTTACTACTCAGAATAGAAGATTCCATTACTTAAGACGACGAGATTTTGAGACAACTTGTCTGCTAGAAGCTGAATCCAAGATGTTAAATATCAATGAACAACTTGATTTTGTAGCAAAGGAAATCATCTCTTACATATTTAGTCCTTTGTACAAAGATGAGCCATCCAACTTGCACATACCTCTTGCACCTCCCGGCCTCCAAAAATACCGAATTGCAACGTTGTATTAGCACCGAAGACGGTCTAAAAAGCAGGATTGATACTGGAAGGTAAAATGTCCGAGCAATAAATTATAGATAAAAGGTACCGGATTCTATAGAGGCGCGTGGCTTGGTTGCCTCCAGTGGCGGTGGGTTATTGCTGTTGATCAGGTGTAGGCTTAATTAAATTCCCAATATGGTGTGATTTTCTAAGCAGATTACATCTTTATTTGTAATATATCTCCAGGCTTATGAGAAGCAAAATATTTCTTTCAAATTTCAATATTCAGGGAGAAGCAGGTTGTTTGATTAATTCTGATATGGTAGGTTGGATGTTTGGTATTGTACAATTGTTCTTTTCTCATGTCTAATAGTGGAGCTTCTTATGATGATTAGCAGTGTTGAAAAACGATATAATTGAATAGTACTCCGATTTCTTGATGATGCTGAGATTTTGAGACAACTTGTGTGTTAGAAGCCGATCCAAGATGTTAAATATCATAATGCTCCATCCAGATTTCGTTCAAGGTGCGGATGCAATAAACAACTTGATTTAGTAGCAAAGGAAATCAAGTCCTATATATTCAGGCATATGTACAATTGGTTTTTGGTAACAGCTCCTCCGTAATAGTCAGGCAGCCGTTCTATATTGTAACGATGTAATAAATAGTCGCCCGATTTCGTAACTGACACAACTCAACAAATTACTTGTCTATTTATTGAGCAATTTTGTGTTGAAAAATAGGTTTCCTTGAGCTGATGTGTTCAGGATATTATCAGAACAAATAACCGTGAGCTGTTGCAAGTTACATTCCCGAATGTTACTTATTTTTAACTACCTGACTCGACAGCCGTTGTCCTGTCTTAGCTATGAACTGGAATGAATAATAAAAGGGTAAATATATGGAATAGAGTGAAGCGGGGAAATATGGCAACATAAATTTGAAACGCTCACATCCTGGCCTCCATCGGACCTAGTCGCAATAAGATTATTGAACCTTAGAGCTTACACATGCAGGTTTGCGGTGTGAAAACTCTCGTTGCACATCGACAAAAATACTGTAATCAAAAATGTCCAATGACTCACTATTGCCATATTACCCGCACCTATGCGTAATATGGCATCTAGCTCTGGGTAATAAGGCAACATGTTTTCGTAACGTAAAAATTAGGGAATTCAACTTTTTATAGAAAATGCTGATAATTGCAAAAATACACTTTTATTTCCAATGAAAACACTCAAAAAGTAAAAAACAAGACAGATAATCCTAATAATGTAACTGTTAATATACTTAGGTATACTGGTAAATATCCTTTAATGTGATTTTGTCTTGGTAGCTATTTCGGATAACGGCGTATACTCTTCGCAAAATCTGTCAGATTGCGTACATATTTCATGGAGCCATTTCAAACATGTTACGCATTGGAGCCAGTTGCATTTGGGTCCTTTTTTATCGTAAAAATACCCATGACATGCTGCACAAAATTCTGACTCATCAGTATCGATTTCTGAATCGTCGCTTTCTTGGGATACTACATCGGTTTCGGTGTCTGATGAATTCAAGCTTGGTGATTTTTTAGTTTTCTTCTTTGGAACTACCGTTTTCGTCCTATGCTCAATAATACTTTGCGTTTTTTTCCGTTCTTCTTTTTGTTTTAATTTTGTTCTTTTTACTTCTTCCTTTGCTGGTTTTGCGCAAATTGTTTCTGGTGAAGTTAGTATATATTTCGGCATGTTGTTTTCGTCTATAGCCAAAAAATTTCAGATGTGACATAAGCTGACTTCTCGCCCATAACAACCTTTCCTCCAGGTGGTAGACCATCTTCAAATTCCTTTTTTTTGTTTTTCCCTTTGAATATACAGTAGGGTGGGAAAAAACTGCCTTCTGCGTTTACACAAGTTATAACGGAAATAGTTTCTCTCTTTTCAGCACTCGTGATACAGTTTACCATTTTAGTGCCTTTAGTTACCACAACTTTGCCTGGATTATTATTTAACTGCAATCCAGTTTTATCGAGATTAAAAATGTTTTGAGGTTTATTTAATAAATTATTTTCTCTCAAAACGTTTCCTAGTAGTTGGAAATATTGGGTACATTCTTGTCTCGTCATGCCTTTGGCTCTGGCAGTAGACATTCATTGAGCCTTACGTACTGCCAGTTCAGGATGTTGTCTCATGAAGGCGAGAAACCAATCTTGACCTGCCCTTTTTCGTTCGGTATTAAAATTATGTAGAATATTTTGTTGGATCGCAAAAGAATATGCAAGCTTTTTTATATCATGAGCAGATAAAGCAAAGCCCTGCGATGCCATGTTTTGTATATATTTGACTAAACTTGTTTCTTGTACCATACTGAGTAAGCTTTTGCGACCTAATGCCACTTTATTTAAGTGTCCCGACCGCATTCTTCTCATTAAGGTTCTAACTGGAACATTATAAGTACGGTTTATTTCTCGAACAGATCCTTTACCTCCATGAATATCAGATACTGCATTCCGAAGGTCTTCTTCTGACCATTGAACTCTTACATTTCCTCGAATATAAGAACGTGGCATTTTGTTAATCTGAAATAAGCATAAAATAAACGGGGTAATATGCCGCACCGTCACTTTTATGCGGCATATTGCCCCACTGCGTAACAGTAACATTTCAACTAAAACGCACAAACCCCGTGTAAATCCAGGAAGCGGTACATGTGTTAAATGTTAGGTTATGGATCTTACTTTGCCTAGCAATAAGGATTAGTTAAATCGGACCACGAAAACTTGAAAAAATTCTTATCATATCTCATATAAAAATAATTTTTGGTTTGTACTTACCGGTTTTTTGGGTCTATCTTACACTAAATCAAGTAATTAACACACATTCAAAGGTAACGGGCTTGCTTGCATTTATGGCGACAGATTAATGTGGTAGTTGCCCTATGTAACCCTCGGAGTGCACTATGAGCGAAGTGAGGCGTATTACCCGTTGCGGCATATTTCCCCGTTTTACTCTATAGGTAACTGTATAGCGAAGTGTTTGTACCTCCATGTTGCTAGCAAAATACGTTGGCAGCATTGTCATCCCCCATCAACTTACCTTTAAAGTAGGCATAAAATTATGTGGAAAAACAATTTTGCGCCAAATAACATCATTATTATTGTGACATTTCGTCAAGAGGCTTGTTCAAAAGACCCAACAACGGCCTATGATCGGTTTCGGTTTCAAACTTATTTTGGCCAAACAGGTAGAAACTGAGATATGTCCCAAAAATCACGCAAAACTGTGACTTGATGCGATTGAGTGTTAAGCCACCAATCGGGATTCTCTGTAGCACAGTGTCTAGACGAAGATTATGCTCTTCGATAGTCCTTCCATATACCAAAATATCATCGAAATTATCCCCTTGCCACTCAGTACCCTCTAGAATCTCGTAGATACATTTTTGAAATAGTTTGGAGGCACGTATGGCATTCCATAAGGTAGCCTGAGGTAGCGGTATCTTCCAAAACATGTGGTAATTGTACACATCAATGACCTGCCAAAAGTTAGAGGAAGAAATGCTGAGAATGCATCTAGCAAGCTGAAATACTTGGCATCAGCTAATCGCGAAAACAAAGTATCTGTGGTGCGAATTTCAAAATTTTCTCGCCTAATATATTTATTTAAGTTTCTAGAATCCATACATATCCTAATATCGTCATTAGGTTCTGGAACGATGACGATGGGATGCACCCAATCTGTAGGCTCCTTAACAGGTGTTATAATTTGTTTGGATACCATTTCACTTTGTCACTTAACGCCAATGGTATCTTTCTTCGTGCGCTAACACTAGCTATTGCACCTTCAGTCAAGGTTATAGATAAATTTTGATGAACTTTTCCTACCCCTGGACCAGCTCTATTAGTCAAACACAAAACAGTTTCATTTGTTGTCATTGGCAAAATATCTACCGCCTGACAGCAGAAAGTCACAAAATTGAACGTGGAGCACTGGAGTCTAAAATGTGGAACAAATATGTACCAGTTTTATTACTATATTTGCACTTTAGGTGAATTTGGCCAAGCACACCTATTTCATGTCCTGTTTATGAAAATAAATTACCACTTTTACGTGACACATCTAATAGCTGAAAGTCAGAGTATCTAAGAGTACTTGCCATACTTCCAGTGTCTATTTTCAATGACACCATAACACCACATATAGTTATATCTTCAAACTACTCAATGGCAATGATTTTCAGAGCTAGTTATGGTCCACACATAACTGTCACTTGGCTCGGTTTCACTGTCATTCTATTTCACCGACAATAGTTGCGATAATGTCCCTTCTTACTACAAAAACTGCAATATCTACTTAGAGCAGGCCACTTACCAGGAAGCATCAGGACGGTATCTTGGAGTCATGACTGTTCCTGGAACTGCTACAACTTGGCGGCGCCCTCCCCGGTAGCTCCATCCTCATTCCTTCTAAATCGCCTCTGAATTTCACTCACTGTAACCATAATCCTTGACTATTTGCCTTTGAGTCACTACACTTGTTTCCATTGACCGCGCTATACTCACAGCCTCACTTAAATCGAGATTTGGATATTGAAGCAGTTTAACTTGAATACGAGGATCTTTCACACCCAAAACATTTCGATCACGAATCAAAGTATTTTTCTCTATAAAATCGCACGTAGTTACAAACTGGTCAATTGTTCCCCCAGTCGCTTGCTCGCGCTGGAAAAATTTGAAATGTGCATAGACAAGATTTTTGGTTGGATTACAATACCTTTCAAATTTGTCTAGGGGATGACGTTCAACTTTTTCTTGTCTTCCCCCGCCGCGTACTCGAAGGTGTTATACATTTTAAAACCCTCATCGCCCAGTAGACTTAACATAATCGCTACTTGTATAGCATCGCTTTTGGAGGCTTTCCTACTTGCGAGGAGATACAATTCAAACTTTTCTTTCCAAAGTTTTCAATTGTTAGCAAGATCACCGCTAAAATCAAGCACTTCCGGTGTTTTGCCTTGATTATTGTCACTCATTGTTACACAAATCGTTAGCATCACGATTTGTAAGATCCCGGGATATTATTTCCGACCTGGCAACGCCGCCTGGCCCGATCGCCCGTGTTTGAATTTTCGAGAGCGCTGCTGTCCGGATATAACCGCTTTCTCCACAGCGTCAGAAAAACCGTTCACGTTTCAGACACTTCACGACGGTTTACCGATGTCACCGTGTGATGTACGGACCCTCCAGGATTCACAGGATAAGGAACTCGCACGCACTGGTTTGGTTACTCGTAAAGCGATTGATTGAACTCAGCGATACATTCAATCAAAACAGCGTGTTACCCGTTTCATTGCTGATGAAGAACTGCCTTACATAGTTGTCAAGTTCACCAACTTGAAAATACATATTATGTGTTGCGCAGTTTTCTTGTTTTTTCTTATCGTAAGAACCATGTATACAGCATTAGGAAACTTTTGAAAAAAAGATGAATGAAATCGGTAAAGTCGTTCTCAACTTATGGCGTGACCATGCGAAATAGGGATTCATTTGTATATGTATAGAAGATAGAAGATTGTGGATTTGCAAGAATTATCTTGTTCACATTTCTCTCGAAAATTGTTTATTTCGAAAAAAAGCAACACATACATAGGAATCTGTCGTCTACAATTAGTTTCATTGCGTCGATTACAATGAGGATGTTTTTCTCTGCTTGATTATGAGAATTTCTTTGGTATACTACGACGAAATGTCTCTCTCAAATGCAGACAAAACTCAACTACAGTATATTCAGATAAGAGATAGACCGGACATAAACACGACCACGTGATCATCGAACGCTATAACATTCGGCAGGGACGTATTAAGAGTCACGCAGTACATATTTTAGATAGTAGATGCTGCTTTGCGTAACTTTGTAGTAAATTAGCACAATTCGATGTGTATACGATTGGTGATGGATATAGGATCATGTGGGGGTGGGGTAAGAAATATATAATGATGTAAATATACATAAGGGTTTCAAAATTTTCGCTTCGATTTCCAGCTTCGGATGCCGCCTGATGTTTGGTGAAATACAGTCGAATATAATCTCAAAATGGCGTTTAAATTAGCCTAAATTAAAAATAATCGTATATCTCTTAAAATTGCTTTTAGAATATTGATCAGTATATTTTTTGATTTCTAGGTAAATATGTAACTAAATTAAAACGTTCAAAACGTAAAAAAATGTGCATGGTTGAACATTGTCAGAAAGTAGATTCTTGAATAGGTTTTGCCAAAATGGGTTCAAAAATGTCAATAATTAATTAAAAAATACAGTAGCTTTATAATTACTTATAACTTACCGAATTTGATGAACGACATCTTTTATTGGAAAGATAAGCTTGATGAGCTTTCATCATCGCTACTGCCTGAAGCACCAACGTCAATAATGAATGGCTCGACTTGTTCCTCTAAAATATTGTCCAGTTCCCACATTCTCTTTTCAACTTTGTCTTTCACGTGCTTAATACAGTTTTCCCATTTTTGCGCTGTTATTAATTCTAGTGCTTCTTTGAAAAGTCCTTTGAGGTCACAAAATTTAAAAGTTGTATTGTGCTTAACTATATAATTTTTAACCTCTGCCCATATGAGCTCAATGGGATTGAGCTCGCAATGGTATGGAGGTAAACGGAGCACAGTTTTATTTTGACTTGCTGCCATTTCGTCAATGGCGTATTTTTGATATTCCACCTTGTGATCCTTGGCAATTCTTAATAATTGTACTTTCAGCATTGCTTCTTCAAAGTTGATATTTTTCGAGCGGAGCCAATTTTGAACATCAACTTTCCTTGAAGCCGTTGTTGGGACCTTCTCCATTCTTCGAGAATGATAAGGCGCATTATCCAACACAGTTACTGCGTTTTCCTCTAAGTTCGGTAAATTTTTTGAAAACCACTGTTCAAACGATTCGCCATTCATTTCCTCGTGGTAATCTCCAGTTTTCTTAGACTCAAAGCACCACAGACCGTCAACAACAAATCCATCCTCACTGCGAATATGGTAGATAATGAGCCTTTTCCCTTTACCTGGAAATCGAAGTACTAACTGGTGTAGATTTATTTCAATAAGCGAACCTTTTTCAAATGTTTTCATCACATTCAGCGAAAAAACATTGAGACATGAGTATCAGATTGCTATAATTGGGATTATTTAGTCAACAAATTATAACTTTATAAAACTTAAACGCTACACAATATGAAACTTAGTAACTTTTTTAAGTTTATAATATTCGACATATTTTAAGATTATATTAAAAAATTATTGAAATATCGAAAACACATGAAAACATGGCTTAAAAAAGTTCTAACAAATGAAAATGACAATAAAACATCCACGCATTTTATCGAAAGGTATAAAAGTTTTGTTACCTGTAATATGTTTTATCTGCCCCCTGGAATTAATGTTCCCAAGGTTTGAAAAACATCCGATTGTTATCTATTACTCGTATTTACCTGCTGGATTTTTTAATCCGGTGGACAGTCCATCTAGAAAGGCCCTCCTGGATGAAGTTATAGAATCATCAACCCATACTTTACTTGTAGTGTGACCTGCGTTTACCCACGTTTCATCAAGGTAATAAATCTTCCTGTTTTGATTTCTATATTTCCCAATTTTTGTTAAATAATCCCTCCTCCATAACACAATTTCTTCTCTATCCAGTAGTAAACTATTCCGACCCCGTTTTTTCCATTTGAAATTTAAATGCTTCAGTAACGCATGGAAAGTTGATCGTTTGAAATTTGGCAACGTTGTATCTCCATTTACCTCCTGCAGTACTTTATCTATAGTAGGTATTTCATTCCTAAAGAAGAATTCATGCACTTTCCTCCTAATCGCATGCTTATCAGCTTCATCCAATGATTTAACAATACTCTTGCGATGTTTACTGGTCATTGGCTCAGAAAAGGTGTGATTTTTTTTGTATTGTCTTAACACATTAAACACTGATGCGCGACACACCCCAACTTTGTGAGAAACCTTCACAACAATTTCTTTGATGGTTGATGCCTCGTTCTCCTCGCGCTCGATCTTATATATATTCAAAATGACCACTTTCATTTCTGCACTCAGGTGTCTTTTTTTAGAGCGTTTCCTAGGTGGACTACAGGAGTTTACAACTTCATCGGCAGTATCTGTACTACTGGGCATTTTGCGCAAGCAGTTGATAACAATAACAATCAATAACAAGGTATAACAATAACAACGACAAACTCAACAACTTAATAAGATAACAAACGAAAACGTCCAAAGAAATATCAAATTGCAATGATGCACACGACATACGTAACACGTCTGAACCTGAATGTGACTCTGCCTTGATACGACTGCTCTGCCGCTCGGCATAGGCATTTAATTGCGAATTGACCAATGATGGCTCCTGTTTTACGTCGAGACGGCGGCGTTAGCGTGAAAACCACCCGAACCTTTTGTTTACATCCGGTCTATCTCTTATCTGAATATACTGTAGACGCCTGTTTTGCTGCAACACACAGTTAGTTAATGGGAACATTTTGAAGCGGAAGAAGTAATTTATTAAATCCGGTTGAACTCACTAGTTTTTACGAAGATTCCTTTAACATTTGAAGATGATAAATGTCCAATTTTAACATTATGGATGAATAATCAGTTCTAATTTGAATGTGAAGCTTGGACCAGGTTAAAAATTCTAATAAGGAATCTTCTTTTCAGTTCCTCCCAAGGTGCAGGTACAGAAAGCTTTGGTTGGAGCTCCTCTTCATTCAGCAGTCAAGCTCAAGTGTGATACGGAAGCATTTCCAAGTTCAAACAACTACTGGATGAAATCTGAAGAGACGATATTCAGGGGGTAAGCATAATGTTGAACTATATACAAGTTTTCCAGGACAAAAATGTTTAAACTCGAATAACTCTAAAATTTAAAGACTTTGTAACATGCCCTAAAGCAAAAGCTTCAAATTGTTTATAAATCCTATACATACGAATGACAATCACCAGGTTCTTCTATCTTAGAAAACTACGATCTCAGGTCAAGGAGGTACGCCTCAGAAACATATTCAACTCACGATCTCGTCAGCTAAAGATAGCTGCTCCTGACTGAACGAGTCTCCCTATTGCGCTAATGAGAATTTTCAATTTTATGTCTCAACAGTTTTGTGTTTTTTGAGGTAACATGACCTATTGCTGCAATTATCCTTTAGCCATTCGCTTCACCTCACGACCAGTTCGAGGGTCTGTTCCGACGCGGCGCAACGTTCAAAGCAACTTCCTTGCCGAAACTCTACGGTCCCTTGTAACAAACTTTCCGCCAGCTGGTCGGAACCATTAAGATGCATAAACATTGACGGAGAACTCCGGGGAGAATATGGAAATGTCAGGGAGATACGGGGTCGCCGACGTGCGGTGTTGGATACGGAGTTTTTGTCCGCCGGTTCGACAGAAAAGAACATTTAATAAGGTAGCCCTTGCTGAGTTGTTACGGCCTGAATTTATGATGTAGAGTCGGTGGGGCTGTAGCTTTCTATCTGAAACTCAGCTAACTTTGTTAACCGGATGTTTGTACTACTTAAGCTTAGTAGAACGGGGAAACACCAAGTCCAAGATAGAGTTGATGTAAATATAGTCATGTATAGTTTGGCAAACGGATCTGCAACATCGGGGTATCGGTGAGGGGAAAGCAAAACATGGCTGGTTTCATTCATAAAATGCCAGCGGCATGCGGTATTTTATACAAGTTTGGGATTATTTCATAATTGGTTTAAATTTAGTAAACTATACGTTTATGTTTCACTTTAAATTTGGGAAGTATCTCAATAAGCCCACAATGATATGGAGCATTGTCCATAATAATAAATAAAGTCTCGGGTAAACTCAAAAATAGCTGTTCTCTACAGTCTACACCATGTAAAAAAACACTTGAGTTTGTTTCTACACTTCAACAAACGGAAAAATGTCTACTCACTTCCCGAAATTGCCACAATTCAAAAAATCATGATAACTGCGCGATTTAAAACCTAATTTGAAAATTAAGCTAGCGTTTTTGTCAAACCCGTAAATAAAATATATTTTTCAAATACAAATAGATACTTATCGTGGTTTTTTACCTTGAGAATATATATATATGTATATATATATACATATATTATACATTCGTGATCTTATAATATGCTCATTTACTTTAAAAAGTGCCGTAAGCCGAAACATGACAAGAATTGATTTTTATTTTATAATCCGCATCTTTTTGGATTCCTATTGTTGCAATTTTGGACTGTGTATATTTCTAGAACATCGGTGTCGCTTAAATAGAAACAAAGAACTTTAAACATATTTCATATCCGTTTAACTTATAACCTCTGTAATAAATAATACTTACATTATACAGCATTTCAAAATTACATTTCACCTTTTGAATTAGCATTGGTGTTCGTCAACGTCATCATTATCATCATCGTCACTGTCGTCATCAGTTTCGCTGTCGTCATCTTGCCCTATAGTTATTATAACTGGTTCCATTTCCTCCATAAATTGATCATTTTCCCAAAATTTATCTTCAATGTCCCTAACATGTTGACAAAATTTCTGCCAATCATTAATGGATATTGAGAACATCGCTTCCTGAGTAACTTCTTTCAGTGCGGTTAAACTGAAGTTTCCAGTGTTATTGCGGCATCTTATATGAAATTTAAGCTTTGCCCAATCTAATTCTATTGGGTTTAGCTCGCATAAATAAGGAGGTGTTCTTAGAGGAGTATGTCCATGTGATCTTATGATCCGATCAACTACATAATTTTTTTGGTTGTCAGTGGGCTTATGAAGTAAGACCAGATCGAACAAGTCAAATTTTCTGGCAGTTGCCTCATGATTTATGCCTATAAAATATTTTATTGTATAGTTTGATATGTACATGCATGTTTTGAGTCATGAGTACCTTTCTTTGTCAACCAGGCCATTATATCTTTTTTCGAAGATGATTTTGTCGGGGTTTTATCTTCCTGGACGGAATGATATGGAGCATGGTCAAATACTATAACCGAATTGGCAGGTATATTCGGGAGGAGTTTTTCGCTGAGCCAGCGTGTGAAATTTTCCCGATTCATCTGACCGTGGTAATCGCCTGTAGCTAATCCCGCCTTAAATATCAAACAGGCATTGTCAACAAATCCATTTTCTGAACCTGCATGCACTATAATGAGTCGATCCAAAATATACAAGACGATTATATAATATGTTACAAATCAGAGTTAAATTTAACATATATATATATATATATATATATATATATATATATATATATATATATATATATATATATATATATATATATATATATATATATATATATATAGCATTTTTGCTTACCTGTAGAACCTATACTGCTTATTACACCAGAAACAGTTTCGCTCTGCCATCATTTTTTGAAAGTCAAGTCATCGTCCAAATAAACAATATTGTGCCCTTCTTCACGATATCTACTTATTTCACGGATGTATTTGTACCTCCATTGCAATATATTAGGCCTCTCCATCAAAACTTTTCTTTTAATTTGACATTTGCGCCAAAAAAAACCATTTGATTTTAATAAACTCCTGAGTGTTTCCCTAGAATAGGTGAAATTTGAGTCTCCTCGCAACTTTTGTAATAACTTCCTAGTTGTCGGGACAACTTTATAATCAAGATAAAATCTGTTTATCAAATGTCTAATAATCTGAAAATCAAAATTTTCATCTTTCTCAACAAGAGACGCGGTCTTTTTTTCCCGGGACTGGATAACATTTTATTGGGGTTATTTACTAGTCTTTCTTTATCCTCGTTATTAATTTTCCTAACAGAAGTTACTCCGACTCCGGTATAAAGGGACACCCTATCAAGCTTACGTTTAAGCAGCAACTTGAGGGAATTGTTTGCCGCTTCCTCATCGCAAACCCTATAAATAATCATCAGGATGTTAGCTTAGCATTTCCTTGTTTTTTATTTATATTCAGACTCAGTCGTCAAAAACTACAATTATTGCATATTGTTATTACTCACCTATAAACATTCGCAATCACTTCTCTTGTTTGGCTATGAAGCGTCTTTCCGCGAGTAAATTGGTTCATTTTAAAAAAATAATACTAAAGCGAATAACAATAACAAATAACAAAACACTAAACTATTCAAAAACACACAGCACTAAACATACAAACTTAATAGAACCATAAATAGTTAACAATAATAGTTGTAAAACTCATACATGACTTTCAACGGAGATAAAACCTACGCCACTGGACTTTTCAATAGTATGGATATTCTAAGAAAGGAGCAAAAAAATTGTCTGGGACGCTACCCAATAGGGAGTCGAATTTTCTCATGGCGACAAAACATGTGAGGATATTTGCCAATCAGATTCGTTCAGGCGGTGTCCAAAATACCTTTCGGGTGGTTGTTGCCAGCTCAACCGATGTCGATAAGATCTTTGGAAAAATGTTTACTTATAATACGATTCAGTAGTAAAAAATAGTTATTAAATACAAATAGAGCTAACAACCCATTAAAATACTCAGTATTTTGAATTATTATTTCTTGGAATTGTGAAAAATCGATTTTCAAATCATTGAAATTACTTCATTATTGCTTTTTTGTAGTTAAATTTGGCAATATCGAATATTTTCGGTCGCATTCCTTTCGCTGTTGCAGATTCGTTTGCCAAACTTTACTGCGCACACGTATCTCGAAGGGTGACGGCTTGTACAGAGTCGTATTCAGAACCTTTTTGCGATGATTCAATGATGCTAAACGATTTATCGATTGCAGATGCTATATCTTAGAAAAAATTCTTCATGATTGCGACTGAAGTAAAATATGGCAGATCGAAAACAAAATGTGGCCAATATATGCACTATAAAAGATTTCCATTGGATTTTCCATAAACCATAAACGCCATTTGAAAAGGAATGTAATCATTTTAATTCTACGTACAACTATTAACATTGTTTATCAGAATGTTGAACTTGAACCGTCATCCTCATCACTTGTATCATTCTGGCCAAATTCAATTATCAGTGGTTGAACTTGTCTTTGTATAATATTATCGACCTCCCACATCTTTGTCTCGACTTTTGTTATAACATGCCGAACACACTTGTCCCATTTCTCGGCTCCGATTCTGCTTAAGGCTTCATCAAAAAGTACCTTGAGGTCGGCAAATTTATGCGTGGTGCTATGTTGTGCCACAAAGTTTTTAACATCCGCCCATATGAGCTCGATGGGATTTAGCACACAGCCTTATGCTCTTTGACAATTTTCAATAGCTGGACTCTTAGCATTGAGTCCTCAAAGCTGATATTCTTTGCTCGCAACTAATTTTGTATTTCGTCTTTTTTCGATGACGTCGTCGGGATTTTCTCTATTCGTCAAGAATGGTATAATAATAATAATAATAACAATAATAATAGCTTTATTGTCCAACAGTTTCCCATTTATAGTACAATTTATAAACATAATACAAAAGCGAAAAAAAGCGAAAAGAAAACAACAAATGCAACACAGGTATAAATTTGTAACATGAGCTGTTGGTTCGAATAAGCCTTAGCTGCCTTTAGCAGGTAATTAACATTTGTCGTAAATATATCACAGTAACATCCAATTCTGTTTAAGTTAGAGCACATTACATATAACGGTGACTTGAGAAGAATGTATGTCCTAGCTCTAGGAACCCCGAATATTTTATGATTGCGAGATGCAAACGTTGGAGTACGAAACCTGATCTGTTCCAGGATCATGGGGTAATCAATTAAATTGTTGATCATTTTGTAGCCAAATATTATTGAGGCACAGTACCTACGTTTTTTCAAAGTCAACATGTCTAAGCGA